AAGAAGAGGGTCAAGAGTTTTCATCTTTTAAATCTATTTTAGTTTATAATATAGTTTAAAATATTCATTAATACATTTTAAAATTTGTTTTTTGAGATAACACATTTTACATGTATCCCCTGATAATGTCTGAATAATTGTTTTGATCAGCAAAGAAGGCACTATTTGCTAATGTGATATCAACAGTTTTGAAGAGACAAGCATCTTCATTTGTGACAATAGAAGCAAGGGAGGCCTTTCTCTCCTTTTGAAGTCAGAAACAGATGAAGAGAACAGAATGTTTGAGTGTTGACATGAACTGATTAAATGTATTCTGCATTGGAGTGATGCATTTAAAACTAATATTTTTTTTTTATTTGTGTATGCATTCAAGATTATGTAAGAGAAGGGATGTTCATTTATTTTGTTTGAGAAGTGTGGCCAACTATATTTGGCCTTTATGCATTAAACATTTAAAGGATTATACTAACATGACTTACAGAGACCTGCATGATATGTTTTATTACCTTATTAGGATTTTTTTTTGTGAACTGAGGCAAAGGGGTGTTTCAACTACTGGACAGAAGGACTATTTACCCATTAAAGGAAAAGTAATGTAAAAACCAATCAATGTGGTGATCAAGTCCTGATAGCCAATGATTGTTTGAGTAAAGGATGGGGTACTCCTTGTCTATTTATTTATTTAAGTTGCTGACCCTAGAGCTCTGCGCAAACTTTTTGCAAACTTAAAAATAAATATAAAATAATAAAATAAATAAGTTTCTCTTTGGGTGGACGCCTTAAGAAAACTAGAAAGATTTTTTCATTTAATTGTTGTCTTTGTTTTCTTTCCCGTCTTCTGAACTGGTAAGTTAGTATTTACTTACTTTGACATCCACACTGCCTACATTAACACACCTTATTAGAGATAACCAGCAAACTGGCCCTTTAAGGAGCTCATTCCAGGTTATGTGTTGTGTATGTGCAATGTTTACATCCCATACTGTTTTCATGAACTACGATGTAGCTGGAATCAGTACAGCCAGAAATCCCTATTTTTCTAGTACCAGTGCTGTGAGGAAGAATGCTACTGTAGGACTAGCAGAGACAAGGAGAGGTGTTGTAGAGGTAGGAAGAAAACGAAGGTGACGATATGGTAACCCTTGTTCTATAAGCACAGGTGGAGCCCTCTACTGGACTCTATGGGTACTACCTCCTCAAATCACACGCGTTCACTTGCCCACTGAAATTTTATCGCGCACATAGCCGACCAATAGGACGTCGCAACCAATTCGTGCCCCTACTGCCCCAGCATCCAACCGCCTCTTCAGCAGACGGCGTCAGAGCGGCAGGGACATCGGTAGAGGGCTCCGCCTGTGCTTATAAAACTAGGCTTACCATATCGTAACCTTCATTCTGTATCACAGGCTCCGCCCTCTACTGGACTCTATGGGTACAGTGGGTGGAGCACGATGACTGTCCACGCCAACCCGGTCAGCCACAGGCCGGCCAAAGCCCCGACCACCACATCACCTAGTGACAGAATGGTGGGACACCCCTGAGAAGGTCACTGGACTGATAGGGGCTTGGCCTGACCATTAACACCTGGACTGTCCTGACTTTTCACTGGACTGCGGACGTGGGCTGCGGAGTCCATAGCTTAGCGTCGGTGAGCACAGTGGCGCGTTCGACACAGCTAGCTCAATGGGATGGGGTTGGTGGTGGGGAATTAATTCAATTCAATTCAATTCAATTTTATTTATATAGCGCCAAATCACAACAACAGTTATCTCACAGCGCTTTTCATAAAAGAGCAGGTCTAGACCGTACTCTGTGATGATATTTACAGAAGCCCAACAGTTCCCACCAAGAGCAAGCACTAGGCGACAGAGGCAAGGAAAAACTTCCTTTAGTTAGAAGACTTAGAATTAGCACTTTTAAGAATTGAATTTGTGAACATTCACAAGCATCACCACAAGGCTGCAGGGCTAACCATTAGCCTCACCCCAGGAGTTAGCTCTTTGATGAGAGAAGTTAACTTAGCTCTTTGAGGAATGTAATTAACATGTTCCACTCAAAAGCCTTACCATAGTGTACACAAGCAGCACATGTAAAAGCGTCAGTAGGCCTCTCTCCCTCCAGAATGGTCACTTGGCCAGTCGCTCCCTTCCCCAGCTGCAGGTTGGCTGGCGTTGGGTTGGGGGGGGACTCGTCCAGGCAGGACATGGGTCACCTCGCCCAGGTGCAAAGATAATTTTCTAGAAGTGGCGACTCCATCTGTGGAGGTGGTGAATTCAGTGAGCAGTTTGCAGTTGCTGAGGCAGTAGGGATACTGCAATTTATCACACACGTATCGGTAGCGATGTCCTATTGGTCGGCTACGTGCACGATAAAATTTCAGTGGGCAAGTGCGTGCGTGTGATTGGAGGAGGTAGTACTCATAGAGTCCAATAGAGGGCGAAGCCTGTGTGAGATAGAACAGTGACACACAAATATTTGGTTTGTAATCTTCATTAGAGAAAGAGAGTAACAGCAGACAAACAGACAGAGAGCACACAGACTCTACATCATACTCAGATGGACAGCCATTGTTTTAACTGTATGTGTAAATTTGTTATAAACGTGTGCTCTTGAGCATTGTGTGCCAGCCACATACATTAAATGTGTTAAATCTGTTAGATACGTTAGGCCTACTGCTCATATTATTTCACTATCTGTACACAAATGTAGCCTAATTAGTGAATGTGAGTTTGTGAGTGGGGATGGGTGATAATGTGGCTACAGTGCCAGGGCTGAATTTTTGTCCCTCTCCGCTCCTTTTTACCAATGAAACCAGAGTGAAGTGACTGTTTCATTTGATAAAAACAGCTGAATTTTAATGTTGGAAGTGAACTGCATGCAGCTTTCTCGTCCGGTTGTGTCTACAAACAACTGACATAAACTTTGTGGCCCCTGTAGGGGCCCTGGGTTGGCTGCCCCCATACACCCACGCTACCTCCCCTTACGGGTGTTGAAATGGCTTAGCCAAATTGTGCTGAAACAGAAGCAACTTGTTCAACTGTCATTAGCTGGCTTCTTTCCTTACTGGACTCTAATCTCGATGTTGCCCAACTGCTTTGATTCACAGAAGCCACTTCCTCTTTTTCTATCATGACATCCATCAAGCCAAACCATTTGGCAGATGGTAAAACACAAACTATACAGTATAGCATTTGCACTGTATGAGTCATTATCATAGAGTGAGTATTACTCATCACATATGTGTTGGGAAAGTATAGTCAAGAAGTCCATGAAGTACAGTAGCCTAAACGGAAAAAATGCTCATTTTAGAGTCGGGCGGAATTATCGCTTCATCGGGCGTCGTTTGCTGTGCAGAAAACAGGGGGTAGCGAGGAGTCCCTGCTCCAGAACAGCCGTCGGACAGTCAGAGTGCTGTAGTCAGGCTCTTGCATAGTTGAAACAGAACCACGAGTGGATTCCCAACAATCAGTGCCTTTTTTTTCCTCACACTGCCTGCGTTAAGTAGTGAACGGCGTCTGAAAGTGCCATGCCAACACAACGCTCGCAATGAAGTTAACAGTCTGTACAGTAAAACATAGCTAGTTTACCTCCAATTTTCTCTGCAATGTTAACATGCCATGCTGTCCACATCTTCCGAGCCTCCTGATCAATATACACTAGTGCCTCTTTTTTTAGACGTTTCAGCGCACAACTGATCAAGGCAGCACGTTTCTGCCCTGTTAGCATCATTAATAACAAACAAACTTCTACCTCCCTCGGAGCATTCAAATATATTTTGGACTGGGCCGACAGGCTGTTTTATACACGTACAGTGTGAGCACCTACATGAGTTGGAATAAAACAATATTTCTAAAGTCTTGCAGTGTTTGCACAGCTTAAGTGATTCTGCATTCATTTCCATCTATCCTTCTTCACTGTGCCTAGAGTCCAGCACTTAGTGTTGATTAAAATAGAAGTGTAAATGTTGAGACGAGTGTGAGACAGATTACTGAAAAACTGAAACACCCTATGCTTAGACACACATTTAGAGCTAGCAGACAATAAAACCCTGGCTATTGAACCCATAACCTTCTTGCTGTGAGGCAACAGTGCTAACCACTGCACCACCGCGCCACCCATTTCATCCTAGTAAATATTATTTTTACCAAACCTGTAGGTCCTGGGTTCTGTCTACTGAGTATGATTTCTAGACTGTAACAACTAAATTATCAAACAAGACATTCCATAAAATACTACACGGTAATTCATGTCCAAGAATTGTACTACTACTGCTATTAAAGTTGTGAATAAAGTTGTTCATGTAAATCAATTCCTGAGAAGTTTGCATTCACTTACAGAGACAAAATAAAAGAATAGTCAGCATTATGATGGCTTCCTTCTGTGAACTATTGCACAATAATGTTGACTTCATGAAGAACAAGTTCAACTGGCCAAAACCCCCTGTTTACTAGAATCTGTGTGAATCATGTGTGGCTATGCCACTGACTATTTGAGTAACATCTGCTTGTGTCCGTCGTTCTATATGGTGGGGAAATCAAGACGTTAACTGTAGATTCATAAATACATTTTTTGGGGAGATTATTATTATTATCTCCTCTTTTTCATAGGTTTTCTGGTTTCTTCCTGACATGAAGCAGTGTCATTAATCAATGTTAATAATTTGACAGGGAATTGGATTCAGAGAAGTATAGATTAATTGTCACTGTACTACACCTTTGTTTTAACTTTTATTTATGGAATGTTAGCATTTTCTGATTTGTAATCACTGTTGAAGTTGTTCTACTGATGTTTTTACTGTAGCTTACATTTAAAAGCTACTAAACAAACCAAACACGTGCACCAATTTCAGCATGGGTTACAGGAAAAGCTTCCCCCCTGTTCATCTGAATAGTTGACAAATATGTCTGAAACATGATTATGATTCATAAAAAAGAACAAAATAAGTCATGACGTGGCAGGATTGGTCAAGTGGTATTAAAAGTGCAATCTTCCCAAAATCATTCACACAACTCTTAAATCCTCTGCACACAATGCAAGGATTAGGTCTTCTGCTGTAAGACATAGAAGAATTCTAACAATGAAGATAACTCGTACAGTCTTTGTGCTCCTCATCCAAACATTACACTGTTTGGCTTCTGATGGTACAGTATTCAAACTTTTAATTTTAAGCAGTTTGTGGGTTCAGAGTAGTTATGGCATGCACTTGATTAATATACCAAACTACGTGAGGCTGTTGTGTCCTTTACCATGTGCCAGTGTGTCGGCTTTGTTACCCTGTTTTTAACCTATTACATTTTGGAGCAGATCCAAATCAAGGGGCGGATACACAAATTATTTTTCACTTTTGTTAACATTGCAAGAGGTCACTTGAGCTGAGATGTTGCTTTAGCTAGGCACAACCATATTTTGATATACTGTAATTCTAATAGTTTTGGAAATATATCCAGCCATATATTATGGTTGGCTTGCAAATCTGAATATCATAGAAACTCGACTATTGGCCTTGGCGGAGGTCTGCGCTTTCAAAGTGCCCTTCTTGATATAAATTTGTTACAGTTCAATATTGAGGTGATGGGGATTCTAATTATAAGAACTTTATTTGCCTATTACATTTCTGTTTACTCTGTGAATAATAGTCAGTCATATTGTCCATGTAATATAGAATCAAATTAGACAACTGAATCGACTCCAATGAAAGACTGTTGTTCAGATGATTTTCTGATTTCTTCTGCGTTCTAACAAACAGAACTGTGTATTCATTCTTTGAACAATCTTTCCCTACAGATTCATTGTTCCACCTAACTAACAAGGCCACTGGTTTTTGTTTGGTTAAATATTACAACCACTGCTTTGACATATTACGCTGGACAACTGGTGACCGAATTATAGTTCAATATGAAAATAAGTGCCTGGGAGTCCAGGGGAAAAGTGTGGGAAGTGAAGTAAGCCTCTACAATTGTGATGAAAACAGCGAACTCCAAAAGTGGGAATGCAAGAATAACACAGTGCTCGCCCTCAAAGGCCGAGAGCTTTACATTGAGCTCACTGCAGATGGAACAGCAGTTCTCTCCAAAACAATTGGACCCAATAACCACCTCACAATCTCAGGGACGTCCAGTGGTGCTTGCACAAGAACATACAGAGGTACTGAGTTGTTTGTCTACACTGACTCATAACCACAAATTAGTGTGCCAATATTTTGTAAATCTTTCAATGAATAATATTTTCTCTCAGCAGAGTTAATTGTGTATCTCTGGAAATAAAAGGTGTGAAAAAGATACATTGAAAGACTCAGATTTTTATTATTTTGCAGCATAATTGGGGAAGTAATGTAATGTGGTAAAATATTCTAATAAACTGTAAATTACTACAAGTGTTGATAAAAGAAATCAAGTTTTTATTTAGTTATGTCTTTTCAGAACTTTACACCATTGGAGGAAATGCAAATGGTAGGACCTGCATGTTTCCCTTCCAGTACAAAGACCGGTGGTACACAGACTGCACAACGCAAGACAAAAACCGTCTTTGGTGTGCGGTTGAAACTAAATATGAACACGAACTCTGGGGATACTGCCCGACTAATTGTGAGTACTGTTTATGAGAGCTATGTTTTATTATACTGCATTAAGAAAAGGGGCAACAATTGTACACTGAACATGGAAGTCAATACTGAGGGCTTTCAGGATTCAATTTCAATTCAATTCAATTTTATTTATATAGCGCCAAATCACAACAACAGTTATCTCACAGCGCTTTTCATAAAAGAGCAGGTCTAGACCATACTCTATGATGTTATTTACAGAAGCCCAACAATTCCCACCAAGAGCAAGCACTAGGCGACAGAGGCAAGGAAAAACTTCCTTTTAAGCAAACCTCAAGCAGAACCATGGCTCAGGGTGGGCGGCCATCTGCCTCGACCGGTTGGGGGTGAAGGAGAGAGAGAGAGAGAGAGAGAGGAACAGAGAGAAAAAGAGATGGATGGAAGGGGGGGGGGGGGGGGGCAGCCTACACAATATACACAAACAGAGGTACAGACAGTAAAGGTGATGTTGCTATAGACTAAATGAAAAATGGTATAGATATATATAGTAGTGTTAATGATAACAATTGTAATGTTAATGATTATAATAACAATAATAACAATAGGACTAGTAACAATAGTTGTTGTAGCAGAGGGTGTCGAGCAGGAACACAGGGGCAGCAGGTGACCCGCAGCCACAGATCCAGACTTGTTGTGTAAAAATTCAAGACTTGGGCCAGATAAGAAAGCTTGAACTTTTACCAACATTTTTATTATCAACAAAAACAGACACCAATTAGAATACAAATGTTCCACCGGAGTGTGTCAGAGGTCGGTGCAAAATAGAGCCCCATTCTGTTACCAGAACAGAGACCCGAGACAACATGAAAACCTTGTAACGACTTTCACCTCCTTCTGGACCTTTATAGCTCTGTTTCTTGGCTTCATATCATCTCTTGGCTCTCTTTCCTACTACACCTGGGTCTGGGAAATTCCCTGACTGTCTGCTCCTCCTCTCTGTGTCCTTTGCATGCACTCCGCTTGATCATGCCATTTCATCCATAACCTGACTTTTATGGAATAAATTGGTGTTGTTTGTGCTCTGTGCTAGAAACAGGACATTCTTACTGTGATGGACTATATTGATGTATGTTTTGTAATACAATTTTCACAAAATCTGCTTCTATATTTTCCTTTGCAAGTGTTTTTGATGCTGCCTCACTGTGCTCCCTCCCTTTTCTCCCAAAGCACATGAGCTTGCTCACACACACACACACACACACACGTGCTACTGCTGAGCCTGGGCAGTTAGATACAGAAAGGAGCACATACACTCAGAGCTGTAGAGTTTTCACACTGTGATCCTAACTTTACACTATAAAATAACACTTTAAATGATGAAAATGTAGACCACCATTGCTCTAGTAATTAATGATAACAATTTAGGCTATAATGCTCCAAAATAATTCACAACAGACTCCACAGCTCCAGAGCCAGAAACACCTGCAGGAAGTGATAGGAGGAGAGAGAGGAGAGGGACGAGAAAGCACAAGACTGCCGGAAAGGGAAGAAGTTGTGTTAGTAACATGCAATAATGGGATGAGGTTGCATACAGAGGGAGAGGAGAGAGGAATTCAGTGCATCATAGGAAATCCCCCGGCAGTCTAGGCCTATAGCAGCATAACTAAGGGATGGTTCAGGACTCACCTGAGCCAGCCCTAACTCTAAGCTTTATCAAAGAGAAAAGTCTTAAGCCTATTCTTAAATGTGGAGATGGTGTCTGCCTCCTGAACCCAAACTGGAACCTGGTTCCACAGGAGAGGAGCTTGATAGCTGAACGCTCTGGCTCCTAGTCTACTTTTGGAGACTCAGCAATACAAACTCAAAAGTTATCAAACAGTGGTCGGATAAAGAGGGATTCTGTGGGAACACTATTAAATGTTCAATTTCAATACCGTATACCAAAACAAGGTCGAGGGTGTGGTTAAAACAGTGAGTCGGTTCATGAACACTCTGAGAGAAGCCGATGGAATCTAACAGAGAGATAAACGCAGTACTAAAGCTGTCATTCTCAACGTCCACATGAATATTAAAATCCCCTACAATAATAACTTTGTCCGTTTTAAGGACTAAAGTTGACAAAAACTCTGCAAATTCAGATAAGAATTCAGAGTGCGGACCAGGTGCTCGGTACACTATAACCAAGAGAATTGGTTGCAGTGATTTCCAACTTGGGTATGAAAGACTAAGAACAAGACTTTCAAATGAGTTATAGTTTAGTTTAGGTTTAGAGCTGATTAGTAGGGTAGAGTCGAAGATAGCTGCAACTCCACCTCCTCGGCCTGTGCCTCGAGGAATGTGAGCATTAATATGACTGGGAGGGGTGGATTCATTTAGGCTAACATATTCTCCATCACCCAGCCAGGTTTCAGTAAGACAAAACAAATCCACATTTAATTTTCCTATTAGTTTGCACTATTGCTCTTGTGGTTTTAATTTTTATGAGGTTTTTATGCACAGCTCCTCTTCTGTTTACCTTTGATTTAAATAATTTCGATGGTCGGGGGGCAGACACAGTCACTATAGGATTTTCACTAAGTAACTCCTGAAATGGAGGAGCAGAGAAGTGTGTTAGACTGCGACTCTGCCTCCTGGTCTCAACTCTGGGTTGTCATGGATTTGGATAATACTGCCCCTATAAGCAGGGCATTATTTGATCTTGGACGTACCACTAATTTACATTTAAGTCAGCCCTTAGCATTCAATGTAGAGATAAATGTGCAACTTGAGGTTACATATAAAAAATAAAAATGTTGAAATACATTCCCATGTTTTTGTATGTGTATTTCACAGCCAAAGAGCACTGGAAAAAACACATTGCAACAGGAGCGTTTTACCAGCTCAACACGCACTCCGCTCTGACCTGGCCCCAGGCTGAAGCCAGCTGCAAACAGCAGGGGGCCTCCCTGCTGAGTATCACTGATCCTCACGAGCAGGCTTATGTCACAGGTAAGGAGCCACTGACTCTATACTGAATGTATTGACAAAGGGAGCATGGGAGCAGTGTTCAAGGATCAGTGATCATTTCTTTGACATATAAAAGTGATCTGGTCTGTAACATAGAGAGCCCAGTTTAATTAACAATGATTTTAAACAAAGAATAAATAACAACATTTTTTACAAGTGTATATTGGACATTTTCTCTAAAAAGATGCTTGTTGTAAATTATTTATAAACTACTTTTATTGATTCATTTCACGTTTTTGAGCCTAACTCATTATCATTTGATCCTCTGTTTTTTTAACACTGGCATGCACGCACACAAACAAACAAACAAAACACAACACACACACACAGCACTACTAAGTACAGAGGGCAGGGGACAGGGGTACAAGCTTTGGACTGGGCTGATCCGGGATCCAGACCATGGCTGGCAGTGGTCTAATGGGCGGCCATACCGTTATCTGAATTGGGACTCAGGTAAGTTTTCTTTCCACTTCAGTACATTGTGTTGCTATTCTAACAATGCTAAGATGACTTCTCCATCTGATATAAATCCCATCTGTCTTTTATCCTTTCTACCTTATGCACCATGCTGCCACTTAGTTGTAAAACTGATATCACGTTGCTTCGTACTTACAAACCACAGCAAGGACACTACACTACAGATATTTATGGAAGAGGAGGACTTCTGGCAGTTCAGCAGTTTAGATTTAAGACTTACAGTAACTGGAATTTGCCAAAGGGATCTCGTACTTTGCATTCAAATCATAATGTACAAAGTAATGTGCACATTTTAAATCACCTGATAGTAGTTAAATCACCTCAATTTCCAGTGGCATTTACTGTATTAGCTAATTTTCTATATGATGATGAATCTTCACTGCTCTGCAAAGAAAACTTGCCTAATGAAGTCAGCCCAGCTATTAACCAACCTTTTATTCTAACTTCTTTTTCAGATTAATTTCCATATCCTTTATTTTTTTATGCTGCACAGTATATATTCATTACAAGATGACGTTTACATGTATGCATACTCAAATTCAAACAACGTCATGTTTCTTCTAATGTTTCAACTTTTTCTACTTCTACTCGCTGTACTTTCTACTTGGAAATGTTGTTGTTCTATAACTTTGCTATTTGTATTAAAATTCTTATTTAGGCTTTCAATTGTGCTGAATACCATGTGTGCAAAATCAACATGTCTAGCATAACTGTCATCTTGTTTTAGGACATCCACTTTCTAGTCCAGGACACAACTGTGCAATAGTTGATGGTGCTGTACAGTACTCCTGGCAAAGTTCAACATGCACCAAGAAACTGGGGTACATCTGCTACAGTGAAGGAGCTGTGGCCCCTCCTACTGAAGGTAAAGAAAAAAAGCTTTTTTTTTCTCTGTTCCTCTACCAGTTCCTGTATTACTATTTTGTCTTTGGTACCTCAAAGTAATCAGTTAAACAAAACTATATTTCTCTGTTCTTTTCATGATCATCAGTTGAGACAGGATTTTGCTCAAACCCCTGGATCCCCTACAATGGCCACTGCTTCCACCTTCAGCGTTCTCCTCAAACATGGTCTGGTGCTCAGAGAGAGTGCCGCAAAGAAGGAGGAGACCTAGTCAGCATCCGCAATGTGGAGGACCAAAGCTTTGTCATCTCTCAACTTGGATACGGTACGTGACGACAATGAAGATAGTCCAACCTTCTCAAACGACTGATACTGCGCTGTTCTGTTTTTGCTGTAAGCTGATTTAAAAACGTAATTGAGATACAAGAATCCACAGAGCTAAACAAGTCTGAATAGGAAGTGAGAACACACACGCAGGCTGAGACTTAAAATAGCTGTAAACATTTTAAATTGCAGTCAGCATGACTGCAAGTCTAAGAAAGACAGTCAGATGTTTTAGGAACTTTTTTAAAAAGGGGAAATAAGAAGTTTTTCAAGGAGAAATCACTTATCAGTAAATCACTTTTTTACTGCCTATTTGTCTACGGACTGTAACCTGCAGCAAACGAAATGCAGTCCACTAACACCATTAAACGGCCAGCTCCCAACACAACACAAACTCCAATATAAACTCCACATGAGAATAAAAAACAATAAAGTTTTATGTGATGAAACTTGTCAGACCAAATGAGAATCAAATCAATATCGGGTGAAAAGACAGTCAACATTGGAAAAGCTTGAGTTTCTTAGAGACCTCCGCTTTGTTTTGAAACTGATAAAACCAACACAGAGTTGGATTTCATCATATTGGACAAGTAAACTAACATTACTGCAAAGCATTAACTACTATTATTGTGATGTTGTGCTTTAGTTGGCTCAAGTTAGATAACATTAGCTCACCAGCTAACAGCAAGCAGTTGCTAACGCTATCTGGTGCAAAATACTACAGTTGTATGGCTTTCCACATTACTTCTCCAGCTAACACGATCCACATTACACACATTGTCCTGTGTACCACCACTATCGTATCAAAGTGTTGATTTTAGCCTGCAAGAAATTATGTAAAAGTACAAAGCAAATGTGGAGAGATTTGTTTTTACCATGATAGTACTTACCATTAGCACAGATCTGCTTGTTTCATAATGTTCAATTTACACTTACTGTTATTTTACCCATATTTAGGTGCACAGCTTCTCCACTGTCACAGTTGCTGTAACTTACGTGAACCACATAATAAACAATAACGGAGCAGGACAACAACACAGTGGAAGACCCATTCACTACAGTATTTTACATTATTTACTGCGGTCTATCTAAAGTGTAGCAACAATCTCATTTATTCTATTCAGTGTAGCTCACTAACTGTTTCATTATCACCCTATACATTTAGCTATGCTCACATTGCTGAGTCTCCAGTGAAAGATACACAAATAACTTTAGTTACTGAAAATCAGGCAAGTATCACATCGGCAAAATGTTGTACTTTATCAGATAACGAGCATGGATTAGTTCAACCTCAAGCTGATAAAAATATTACTGTTGCAGTGGAAGTTTAGCTCAGTTTTCAGCATGTTGTGTGAAGCTTTCTCCCAGTGAGTATCTCTATGTGTCTATCTAAAAACTGCACTGCTGGTGGCCGCTTAAAACTACATACTGCCCCTTTAATCATCAAGGTTACTTATTACTCCAGTAAGAAATCATACGTCAAGTTGTAATATTCTCACCTTGAAATCACTACAAGCCCCATGTCCATATTCATTAAATGTATTTAATTCTGTTCAAAGTATCCTAAATAAGAACAATCTCAAAATTAGAAATTAATTCATGTATTTATTTGTGTGTTTGTTATTTAATTAGAGGCCTGCATAAGTAATATATAGGAAAAAAATATTTTTTTGAAGAATATAAGAAATAAATATATAATACATCCATTATAGCGATAATATGTTTCTCCATAATGGCTCCACAATACCTGCTGAAAGATTTAATGTGGACAACTGTCAATGTTCACCAATGTTTGGATGGTACCAATAATGCCATTCATTTCAGTGTGTAGAGCATGTTAACTGTGTAATCAGTTAGAACTTTGAGGTACAGTCTTCCCTGTCCATGTCTGCAGCATCTACAGATGAGCTTTGGATTGGACTGAATGACATAAGGACGGAGAGGCTGTTTGACTGGAGTGACCACTCTACTGTCAGTTTCACCAGCTGGGAGTATGGGGAACCTGATATTTCCACTGATTCAGAGGACTGTGTTCTAATCAGGGGAGAGGTGAGATACATCATGTGGATATGATGGTGTACATATAGGGTATCGTTGTTTTATCCATATATGTATATCTAAACAAATTAGACACGGTGGAAGTGTCAGCTAACAGTCTGGTTGTATCCATTCTTCTGAAAACACCTATAGATTTGTGCAACAAATCTTCAACTGCAAAACTAAAATCTAAACATTTGTATGCACAGATGTGATCTTAACTTGGGTGTACAAACAAATTCAGAACATTTTGTCAGATTCATCTATGTTTTCTTATTTCCAAAGTGTTTGTAGGTAGTAACTAAATGTACAATTGATCTTGACTACTTTACTATTACTCTAATGACCTTTTCAGTCATTAAATAGCAAAAAGCACACATTGGATGGCAGGAAAAAACTAGATATAAAAAAAAGTCCAACACCAATGGTCAATAGATCAAGTACAAATCAGCTTTCTGCTTTCTCTTTTACTTAACAAATACTCAACATTCTGAATATGAGTATGTCGTCTATCCATCTAATGCATTCACTCTACAAGTGTTTTACAGTGTTTCTTTCTTGCAGAAAGGGAACTGGGCGGATCGCTCGTGTGATGAGAAACATGCCTTTATCTGTATGAAGCAGAGTGCCACTGAACCCACGGGAGATGAAGTAGAAGTGGATATAGGCTGCAAAGTTGTGAGTGAAATTTACATGTAATCTATGAAAAATGTATCTGGCCTTCATGAGCATCTGGCAAATCAGGGTGCATGATTAAAACTCAAAAATTTACTTTCAAAAGTAACTGGTTCAATATCACAGTCATTCGGAAGGCTGAGCATGAAATAAGGGTTAGGGTTAGGGTTAGGTTAATAATACAATTTAATTTGTTTTCAAAATATTTACAGGTGACCTGCAGATAAATTAACAACATGTAGAATTTAAAATAATAATACAACAGTTCTAATCATTGCTTGTTTTCCTACAGGGTTGGAAAAGGCATGGCTCCTACTGCTACTTTGTCGGAACAGAGACAAAGACGTTTGATGAAGCTAAAGACGACTGCAAGAGCTCAGACTCCTACTTAGCAGATGTTTCCAGTGGGTAAGAACATTTTGTGTTTTTATTAGCAATGTGATGTTAACTGTGTGTGTGCATGTACTATACAATATATATTTCACATTCAAGAAGACTAAATAATCTATGGACTTGTGCTAATATTTCCAGGGTGGATAATGCATTCCTTGTCAGCTTGGTGGGGTTGAGACCAGAGAAATACTTCTGGCTGGGCCTCTCAAACCAGAAAAACATTGATGAATTTGTGTGGACCAACACAGACTCAGTGAGATTTACTCACTGGAACGCTGAAATGCCAGGTAAAGAGAAAGATGCATTTCTGTCTTTAAAAAAGAGGGCATAACTTTCAGCTCCACAATTTACATTTCACTATTTTTCCCCTCAACAACTCAAGGTTACCAACAGGGCTGTGTTGCCATGACAACTGGGGTTTTAGCTGGCCTCTGGGATGTGCTGCCCTGCACCAATAAGGAGAAATACATCTGCAAACACCTGGCAGAGGGGGCGGTTTTGACTGTTGCACCACCAACTCAAACCCCTCCCCAGTGTGAGGACGGCTGGACTCGAGTGGGAACAAGAAACGTCTGCACTAAGGTACAACCAGAGATCAACCTCAGCTAAACACACTTAAAACATGTTACCTGCTAATACCAAGAAAACAAGAGGCACTTGTGCTGCCCAGCATCACAAGTCCATCTTTTGTCGGCTTATTGAAGAAACTTGCAGTGGGGCCTTTACCCTGGCTTGGGTTAGAAGTCTGGTCGTCCTTTGTTACTGCTGGCAGGCCCACGTGGTCGGGTCTAGGCATCGGTGGATTCAGTGTAAGTTAGCTCGACGAATAAAGCTTAAAAAGAACTTGGTCGTTCTTGAATTATAATTGTGTAACTTACGGTCTGATAACTTTTAACAAACAAAAGAAAAGAAAAGAAAACAAGTAAGTTGCTGGATGGGGCGTGGTTGTGAGTTGTTTGTTGTGGCGTGGTTCCAAGAGGGCAGTCCTTTGTTCCCCTGAGGGCTTGTTTCCAGTTTCTGTCTTTTCTTTAAACTTTTAATATGCCTATTCAAAAAAATTTATTTGCGTGTATTGTAATCAAATATCTTCCCACAATCAAACCTTAATTGTCAAACGGGTATACCGTTCTTAGTTTTAAGCATTTGATAAAAAGAAAAACAATTGTCAGTAGTTCAGCCTTAAGGTTAGCATTTCCTAGGAATCACATCTGATGAGAGGAACTAGCTTTCTGGATAATATTGGCTGTTACATGTTCTTACTTAGGGAATATAAGCAAGATACACGAATGGCATCAGATTATGAACAGGTAAATACAGAGTGACATTTATACATTAAATGGCATTTCAGAACGATGGCATGTAATACTTATTTTGTCCACTGGGGGAGCTCTGGTTCCATTAGGATAGCTTTGATTAATCCTTAAACAACCCTTTGCTCAGGATCTGGGGAATTTAGTGATTTAACATTACTTCGAGCTGGAAAATTAATCGAGTAGTAGGATGACATTTCTTTATCATATCCTTTCTAAAGGAAGTGTCATAAAGTGTTGGGAACAAAGAATTGGTTGCAACATAAAATGAGGCAATGTCATTGATCCTTGTTGAAAATTAAAACACTGCAAAATTCACTTATTTAGATTCTTTTCAACAACAAATATCAACAACATGGTAACGTAACTACTAACCTAAGAGGCAAACGCCGCTACTAACTAACCAAGGATTATTATTTAATCAGAACAAAACAGTTTATAATCAAACATTGTTTTAGCTCAAGAAGGCAGGAGTTGTTCGTGCTCCCTTTTCGCATTCATGGCTTATCACATTTGCACATCGGCTAAAGAGAGAAGGGAGTGGTGTTTTATGGCTCAGCCATTCTGTGGAAAAGGAATCAGAAGGGTGGTACTTTTGATGTCCAGAGGTGACCTGTGGTGAGACGGGGGCCGGACAGCCCCTTTGCTGTCCTGCTAAGTGTCTCCAGTGACACCTTTACGGCGAGAGGGGTTCACTAAGGCTCTTTGAATACACAGTCCGTAAGCGATGCATGTTTGATTGAGTCTCTGCAGATCCTTACCAAACCCCAGGCGATGTCTCTAGTTTTTGCATGCCAAAAGGCCAACTCCAGGGGAGGAAAACTCCCCCCCCTTTTGGCATTATCTGACCTCACCTCCCTTTTTTAGTGAGAGGCTGGTTGATTCCACTACAATATAATATCCATAACTATGTTTTCAGTGGTATATAAAGATAGTAATCCGTTATTAATTTTATGTTTTTATTACAGTTTTTCTCATTCGCTTTGGTGCATTTCTCGAATCATCCTTAACATTTGCAAAACAGTAAGTGCATTTCTCGAAACAGGTAGCACAAACGGCACAACACAGTGGATTACCTGCAAAAGCCCATAACTTGCTCAAAATCCTTAGTCTATCTCTCAAAAGCAAATCTTTATGTCATTGAACTTGTCAGTGCCATCAGAACGACAAGTCCTTGTGTCTTGTTTATGAACAAGCAAGTCAAAATGTTTAGCCATCTTGTCAACAGTGTACTCTAAGTATTTTTAAGATTTTGATGACAGTGATTGAAAATGCACAGGAGTTGGCCTTTTGACATGCAAAAACTAGAGACATCGCCTGGGGTTTGTTAAGGATCTGCAGAGACTCAATCAGTCTGTAATCCACTGTGCTGTGCCGGACTTTACCGACACGTTTAGATTTTGTTGATTTGGTGATTAGTGCTTGCTTTTTGTGCTTCTACTATGATTAAGTAGGCTACGTATTAAATATGTTTCTTTTTTGTCTGATTTAACTGTTTGTTTTAATTGTTGATATACAATCAGAAGTCTGTAACGGGTATTTTATTTTGAAAATTGACCAAATCTGCCGTTTCTGTGTCTGACTTCTTGCCCGGTTCATCTGCGCTGTGCTGCTTGATGCTGGGATGCTTCTATTTCATATAGGCTTTGCCCTCTAAGGCTATCGCTATTGGGTTTACACCATCGAACGATGTCTTCTAGCAAGCCGGCCAGAACGGGGTGAGACGCCGTGGCGTCTGCCACACGGGCTACATCGTGCTGGGTGATCTCCGTCCCCGCCGAGTGCTCACTCTCGGTTCGCACTGACCGTTCTGCGCCCTTCTCCCCCCCCGAAGAGCAGCAGCGCCGGGTGGATAGCTTGCTGTTCAGGATGAGGTCGCCTGTCCGCTGCTGGCGGTGCTTTCATTCCACCAGTTGCTCATGGACATGGTTAAAACCTACACAGCCGCCATTTAGTCCTGTCACGACGGCTTTGGGGACAGTACTGTGTTCTCCCACCCCCTGGTGAAGCGTTTCCTTAGGGGGGTGCAGAGGCGCAGGCCGGTGACGCGGCCTGTTGCCCCACAGTCGGATTTGCCGCTGTTTAACTGCCTTAATCCAAGCCCCGTTTGACGACGGACCTGAGATTCCTTTCGGCTAAGGTCGCCTTGCTCCTGGCTCTGACATTGGCCAGGAGGGTCAGTTATCTGGCTGCCCTCTCTGTGGCTCCGTCGGGTCTCAAGATTCAGGGCGACAGAAGCTTGCCTGTTCTGCGCCCTAACCCGGCGTTCATGCCTAAAAGTAGTACGAACTCCTTTCGGTCGTGGGTCATCACCCTCTTGGGTTCTTTTCCTCCCCCCCATGGGTCGGTGGAGGACCCCCTTGCCCGGTGCGAGCGCTGTCCTGTTATGTGGCGCACGGGGAGTGGTCCAAGGGACTTCCCCTGTCGGCGCAGCGCCTGTCTGGCAATGCCATTTCCCAGGCTTACGTGTCTTACGTGAATCTCCCCCACATCAGAGCACAATCCACGAGAGGCGTCTCCTCCTCAGTGGCGTTGCATGGTGGGATGACAGTGGACGACATCTGCACGGCGGCCTCTTGGTCGTCCCCATGCTCTTTCGTCGGTTTCTACCTGCGGGATGTCTCCCTTTTCTCTCTGACTCAGTTAGTACTGAGTGTTTTGGTTGAGTGATTCTCTTTGTGAGTGTGTGGTGCGCCCTCTCCCACGGAACAGTGTTGGGGAGCGGCCGCTGCTTACGTGGCCCTGCCTTGTGCGCAGCTGATGCGGTTGCTGTCGTGACCCCACCAGCGTCTGTACGGCTGCGGGGCCTCCGACACAGTTTCCCGACTTACGCATGGGTCAGCCATCGGCCTCCTATGCCGCGCCATCAGGGTGCTCGCGCGCATGCCGACAGCAGGCGACTGGGTGGCTCTGGGCAGGTGAGTTGTGCTTGGTGGTACCGTATGGGCCAGTGAGGCGTCAACTCATCCTGCTTCGCCTCTAACCCAATCGCGATAGCCTTAGAGGGCAAAGCCTATATGAAATAGAACGGGGTTTACGTACTGTAACCCGGATTCTATGAGTATAGGTGCAGCCCTCTGAGTTGAATGCCTCACTGGACCTTAGTTCTCAGTGCTGAAGAAAAGGCAGTTGGGAGCCGATAGCTGGGTCTCACTGTTGTGTATATATACAAGGTGCGGACGTAGGAGAGGCCAACGCTGTGGGTGGACGTAGACTAAAATTCTCAGTGCTGTGCAGGTGCGCAGAAGGGGTAAATCCAATAGCAATAGCCTTAGAGGGCTGCGCCTATACTCATAGAATCAGGGTTACAGTACGTAAACCCCGTTCCTCGACCCACTGCAGTGCTTCTGTTGTAAGCACAAACATTTAGTAGAATCGCTGTTCCGGCAGCAGCGAAACAGACAGACTATGGACTTTCGGAGTGAGTCTGGGGTCATGTAAACTTGGTTAATATGACTTTGTAGCAAGTGGGCCCATGATGAAGCTCCGCCCCCACTGTGCTGAGAGTCTAGCCCAAACAGGCAATGATCAAGCTATGGGTAAAGTGAAACTACCAAACATTTCATCACAGTTTAACTTCTTGCTTTGTATTTAAGTTGTTTTCTTCAAACAAGAGGACGTGGTATGAGGCCAGAGATTACTGCAGGGCCATTGGAGGAGACCTGCTCAGCATCCACAGCGATGCTGAGCTACTAGTGATGCCAAAACGGTACAGTATGACCTGGCAAAGTAGAAAAAAAAATGACAAAAGTGGTTGCTGCAGAAAATGAAGGCAGACTAGTGTCCAGCAGAACACTGGGACTGTTGAATTAGGCAAAAGTTTGTTTTCTTTCACCATTTACAAACAGATTTCATACTTGAAACATTAATATAGGTTTGTCCATTATAGCCATGAAACAGTCTGGATTGGACTTAGTGCCCCTGACCCAGTCACCGGTTATGTATGGAGTGATGGATCACCAGTGAGTTCAACAGTTTTCTGCTTTAATAGTTGAGTCAATCATTTTTAGTTTAGGAGACTCAATAAAATACATGAAATAATTATAAACCACTGTTTGTATTGTTTGCTCTTGTTTACAGGTAAATTTTCAACACTGGGAGGATGGAGAGCCAAACAATAAAAACAATGTGGAATCTTGTGCTGAATTCAAAATGTATAAGCGTAGTTGGAGTGGGTCTTGGAATGATGTGCACTGTGAGACGTACCATGAATGGCTGTGCCAGATCCGTGCAGGTACAGTATAACGTGCTAATTTGGTGACATGGGTTTCAAAGAACATGTAATTCTTTTATAGCATTTTCTTGAGACTTGAGACCAAGGTTACTTTTTTCAGCAATGTCATGTGTGTTCAGGTGTACACAATGTCAACCTAGAGGAGGCCACTATCATCTTAATTCTTTAATATATTAATCTTCTGTAAATGTCTTTACAGGAGTGACTCCAAAGCCGCCTCCAGACCCTGTCACTCCTGGTAAGTGGGCAATATATGTGACCACATACATAATACATAATATACATACATAGAACTACATTTTTATGTTAAATTGTATTGCCTGTTGTTTGTTTAGCTACATCATACAGATACAATCTGTAAATTATGTGTTGTGCTCTCTTTTGAGAGATAGCGCTTCCTGTCTGTGTTTTGTGTGTCTGGTGGACAGATATTTTGTATATAGCTTATCACATGAATACTTCAATTCTGTGTTGCATCTTGTCTTGCTGAACGAGAGACTACACAACCATTCAAGGTTGGAAAAATTCACTGCAAACATCATTTTGCAGGCTAGATAGCTAATTAGTTAGTTGTAGTATTTGAAACTTTCACAGTTTTTGGCTAAAAAATGATTTGAATTGTAGAATTTCTGTTGGAATAAACTGTTCTTCATTCTTTCTTTGAATGTCCCAATTTGAAAAAGCTTTGACATGGAAAACAATATGTCTTATTCTTTAACATTTACAGAGCATTTTTTATTTCATAATCATTTTAATTTAAATATGACTCTCATAAAGTGAAGAGAATAATTTTATATAACGCCTAGTGATAACTAGCCATGAAGATAAGCTTATCTGCCTAGTTTTAAGATATTTCTTTCTGAGATTTGTTCTGCCAACCAAGTGAAATGGAGGTGAGAGGAATTTTGTGGTGGTGCTCACAGCACTGAAAGATTACAACTTATAAAATCATCATTGTGATTTGTAACGGTGTGAACAGCCCACTTTACATGGAATCTCTTCCAGTTCGATTTGGGCCACTTTCAAATGAGGTTGGATTTTTTGAACTTCAGTCTGGACAGTCAGATCGCAATTCAGCTCCGACATCACTCTAAAGTGATTAATGCAATAAAAAGGACCCAAAGCTGTTAACATTTGTAAGAAATCGTGAGAAATACAGGAAATCTGGGATAGGGCTGAGAAAAAACAGGTCTGCCGTGAACAGTGGGAGGTTTGGCAAGTATGTGCTAATGGCCTCCATGTTTACATCTGTACAGCGGTGTGCTGCATGTGACGTCATGTCGTTCCTTGGCAAAGGGGTCACTTTTAGGCTGTGGCCAGTTCAAACTGGACTCTGAAATGGGGCACATTTAAAAAATAATGTCAAAAGTTAATCAAAGACATTGGATGTGGGCAATAAATCAGAACTGAGCATAGCCTTTTACTCTGAATAATCTGAAACATTAAAAGCTGTTCACAAAGTGAATTTCCAGTCTTTCAATCAATTCTTCTGTAACACTATCCAAGTAGTTTAAGTTTAGTTAAATTTAACCATACCTTAACAATAGAGGTGGCATATTTTTTTAACTGTCATGTGGGTCATTATGGAAGGAAATGACAGATTACCTTTTGTTGTTTAAGAATAAGGACCTGGTGACATAACTGAAATGACACATGTACTTGTAAAACATTACATATTTCTAACATGTCTGCAGACTTCAATAAGACGTCAGATGGGTGGCTGGAATGGAATGGGAATCAGTATTATATTAACAACATATCGCAGGCCATGGAAGAAGCTCGTCACTTCTGCAAACAGAGGCATAGTGACTTGGTAACTATCAACAGTGAAGCTGAAAGTATCTTTCTGTGGAAACAGGTGAGCAGTGACATTGATACAACATTAAACAATTAAAGCAATTAAAGCAATGAACAATTCAATTATTATTAAATCAGTACCATGGCATTAAACTTCTGCAAAAACTGAAATGTAAATTTTGCTGGTTTTACCATGTACCTCTGTCTGTGTGTGTGTAGATATCCCGCAGATTTGAGTCTTACTGGATTGGCCTGACAGTAGACCTTGATGGAACATTTGAGTGAGTATGAATTTAATATAAGTGAGAAAAAAGAAAATTGACTTTCTTTGGGGAAATTTTCATTTCAAAGCCTTATAATTACAAGTATGAAATGTACATTATATAACACTAGGGCTGGGAGATAAAATTATAATATTTATTGATATAAATAAATGTACAATATAAATAATTTGAATCGCAAACGAGTCAGCAATTAATTTTCTATTAAAATATTTAATTTTGCTTTTAATTTTACCCATGCATATTTGTTTAATAAAACATTTTATCATTAGAATTGTATTGAAGGTTCTACCTCAGATTTGTTAAGTGTTCCACTATTAATTATAAATATTTGTCGTGTTCTGACCATATACAATAGTTTAAAAACACATTTGTTGGTTTGTTCAACTTTCACTCAGGAGCAAAAATCAGCATTTCAAGTGAAAGGAATAATTATTTGACATTTATTGTGATAATTATTGATATCCACTGATATGATTTTTTTTTTTTTATCACAATAACATTTTTGGCTGTATAGCCCAGCTGTATATAATACATAGTTAATGGCACCTGTTAAAAATACATTGATAACATTTCTGTAATTTTATTGTTGAATTTTAAAATAGCAACTGTTGCAAAATTGGCCTACTGGAAGTTCATGGTACAGATGGTACATGGTACAGTATTTTGTGTCCAGAAATACTGCCTGCATGTTGGGCCGTTGCTCTAGCATCAGATGTTTGGGAATTTAGGCCATGCCTTCTTTTCAGTTAAACACCCACTGTCACTGCTCTGAGCAAGTCAAAATCAAGCGAGGAGCTACTGTATATCTTGTGTCCAAAATCTCTAAGAATCTGTGAAAAGCATTTCCTCAGTTTGTGTCTGCATTTTAAGAAGCCCAAAGGTAAAGCTGCAGGTTACGGTATTACCAGTTCAAGAAAACCAATTTAAGAATAAAGCACCCCATCCTGTTTGTGCATCTCCATCATCACTTTATTTATGTGTAACATTTGGTCAATTCTATATCCTCTGATCTCTGTGACTCTGGCAGGAAGGTAACTGAAGTTTCGTTTTTACACTGTTAACATTTGAGGAGTTATTTTTCTCTTCATGTTTGCATGTCTTCCGTGTCAACTTTAAATTGATATTGACAAAAAAGACAGATGTCTAGGATCTGATAAAGAAATGACTAATGGCAGAGTTACTCTTTATTTTTTTCCAATATCTAAATTGTTCCAATTTTGAGATTTGAACCTGGAAGAAATACAAACATTAAATCAGTATATGCCTTTAGATTTGAATCAGTATGCTTTTGGGCTAGGAATATTTTCACATTCAGTTTTTTTTGTGACAAAATTTCAACTGATTTGTTTATGTTATATCAAGGTGGATGGATGGTTCTCAAGTGGTGTTTGAAAGGTGGAGTGAAGGTCAGCCTGATTTCAAGAATTATGATGAAAATTGTGCTGCCATGGAGCATTCTACTGGTGAGTAAGCTGAAATATGATTCACCTTCACTGACATACATGCAAATGACTAATTAAACAAAACATTAAGGTTACAATCTTTAAGATTTCCGTCCTAGTTGCTTTGAGACTCAATTACTCAATTTAACCCAATACTGATAATAAAGGATTGATGCATATTGTATTGTAAGTGTTGATTTTCATGTCTTTGATTGGTTCACAGGGTTCTGGCATGATTATAATTGTGGGCATGAGTACAAGTCCATTTGTAAACGCAGTGCCTCCCCACCTGCCAACGCAACTGTGGCACCCACAATGGCCCCTAAAGGTGGTTGCCCACCCCTCTGGAAAAAATTCAACTCAAAGGTCAGAGATAACTTTCAGCCTTGAAACCGTTGTTGAATGGTTTGGAATAAAACTGATGTAGGACTGTGCTTGCAATGAAATTGGCTTTTCATTTGATAACATTGATCTTTTAGGGTATACTTTTCATCTAATGCTCTTTTGAGATGTCAAATTTAGCTATATTATATAGGACAATGTTTGAGTAGCTGTATGTGGTATATTTTCAGGAGTTGTAAATCAAATTATCGTTCCTCACCTGTAGTGTTACAGCATCATTAACGACCAAAAATTAACATGGGATGGAGGGAGGAAACAATGCCAAGCTATGGGTGGAAACTTGGCCTCTATTCCCACAAGACATGTGCAAGGTTTGTGTTTTTTTAGTAAAATTTCAACCAATCTTCTCGGTCCATAACCTGGTACCCAGGCCTGCATTGTATACTTTTACTGTTTTTCTTTTGTACGCAAGACGACGGATTTAAATGGAGGGCTTTTGATAGTTGTGAAGCTTCAATATCACCATATGCAATGGGACACACACACACACACACACACACACACACACACACACACACACACACACACACACTACCCTCTCTCCAGCGTACATAGGATCTGACATTACCGCTGCACTCACTGCTATAGTGCGTATCATATAAACAACAGTTGTATGAGGAAAAGTGTGTTTTTTACAATAACAAAATGTGTTACTTATTTTGTGTTTTTTTATGAATAAAATTATTTTGGTTAAATTGCAAATATTATACTATGACTTTAGATATTTACAGAAAAGAAATATATTCTTTTATGAAAAGATTGATAATTATTGTAAAAAAAAGAGCCTATTTGAACCATTCTATCTTATTTAAAAAACATTAGGCCTACATTCACAAATACAACATTTCAAAAGAAATCAAACATTATATTGAAGCATTATATAGTCTGAAGAATTTAAAACATTAAAACGTTTAAAAATTTTTTTAATGCCTTTATTGCTAGTACATGATCCCCTGTGAGTCTAGTTGTGCCATGTTCTATGACTCTGTCATTTAATGTAGGCTATTTAGTTTTGGTATTATAGTAGTTTTGTATTCTGTATTAATATGATTCAATAAAAACCACAGTTGTATTGTCTATCAGACAAGAGCATTTTTTTATTAAACACAATACAGCCTGTGTTGTTAACCTGTTAATGGTGATATGAAATGTAAGTGTAGTTGTTGGGAGTAGCACACAGTTTCAGAAAGGCCCCAAAAGACAGAACGGACTAAGATAACTGCACAGAACAAGATAACACAGAATGATCATAAACTAATGAACGACTAATCAGGCAGAGAACACAATTAACACTTAGCAGACAGGCAGACAGAAACCAAGCATGAAACAAACACCAGAAAATAACAGAAAGAGACAGGAACTAAGGCGGGCACAGATCGAAACCAAACTAGACAGGAAACAAGACTAAACAGCACTTAAGGCACAGCGTAGACTACAAACTAATAGAGATGGTCTACAACATAACAGGGAAAACAGACTGAAACAAGAAAACACAGAACAGACTGACATCAAACAGGCAATGGAAAACAACTAACTAACTAACTAACTAACTAACTAACTAACTAACTAGTAAAACTAACACCGGGCATACTGAACCCAAGACCACAGACAAAGCTGAAAACCAAAACACAGACTAAATAACAGACTAAAATAACAAAACTGAGAATTAACTAAACAGAGCAGACAGGCACACAGTGTGACAGATATACCAGATATTGATACCCCCCCCCCCCCCACACACACACACACACATTATTTTAAGAAACACATAACATAAGCAAAGATTATCCCTAACATTTGTTATGTTAAGACCATACCAAGATACCATGACATAATGTATGTATAAAAAGAAACACTTTTATTGTTATAAATAGTACTTTGAACAAAAGCACAGCAAACGGCTGCAGCCCCCCCAAAAAACCTGCCTTTACATGAAAGTCTGTGGCTGTGTCCGAAATCCCCACTCATTCACTGCTCCCTACCCCCTATGTAGGGAGTTGTATGTAGAGTACTATATAGTGAGCTTACTCACATTATTAAAACGGACACTACTCTCATCATTATTTCGGCGCCGTTAATTACGCCATTGCCGTCGGATAATAATTTTTTTTCTATGAGCGCAATGCATGACGGTATATATGGCATGGATAGTGACCATTGGTTGTACAATACTTTTCAAAATGCATTCTGGGATACATTGAGTGGACTATATAGGGTATAATAACTCACTGTACATTCGGACAGCACTACAAAATGTAGTGGGTGATTTCAGACATATGAGAGAGATCTGGGCGATTTACAACCAGACTGAAATCGCACCAAAAGAGGCGGGACTCCCCGGAACACGACTTGATGCTGATTGGACAGCGAGACAAACTGTCTGTTAAAAACAGTCACACTAACTAACAGTGTGGTAGAAAGTGTGAGAAAAATCCCCTGCCTTTCCCGGCTTGGCGGTGCGTCGCCCGGTCGCCCTAATGAACAAGCCGCCCCTGCTATTTACTACTATACTATAGCCTACTACTCCTTACCTTGTAAGTGTCCACTCACTTATTGAATCTGTCTGCTTTCCTTTGAGTTCTCTTTTCCTCACACTCACTGACCTAACATACCTCCACTGAAAACATGTCAGGGCGCCCCGCTTCTTTCCGTCTCTCCCTCCCTATGTGTCTGCTCCAGTGACAACCAGTAACAGAACTTGTCTTCTGGACTTTTCCACCCGCGGTTCCGTTCACAGCAGCAGCTGTGCCGCATGTTGAGGAGACGTATCAATACATTAATTGACAACGTAGCCTATCAAAACAGGACCAACGTGGTAGCTAATGAATGACATCTGCACTGGTCTGTTCACTGTAGCTTTAACTTGTCCGCGCTTGTGAAATATCCACCATGTCATGACTTGTAATGTAATACTTTGCAACCCTGTGTTTCTCTGTGAAATGCTAAAATGTGTCGTTAAATTTACCTGGACGGACTGCCGAAGGAAATTGTTGTTTTTCTTATTCCAAGCTTCAGCACCGCTAAGTAGCACATCTCGATAGGTAGCATAAATCGACAGAACACCTGCACTGTGTCTCCCACCATATAGTTAGAGTTGTGTGTGTAGAGAGTTGTGAGTTATTAGAGGGGTTGCGTGCAGACACAGAGGGAGGGGCGGGGCTATGCGGTTACAGGACTTTACGGAAACATTTTAATTAACTCAACATCCAACTATATCGGTATAAACGTGTTATCTAAGTTTATATCTCTTGAAATTATATCGGTATACCTCATTATATTGATTTACTGTGCAGGCCTAGAAGGATCCGACTTTCTGTTTATATTTTAATAGTCATTAATCCGCTGTTATAAAGGCTGATACCAATTTATCTGCAAGTAAATTATATGGGCCAATAATATCTGCACAACAATAAATCGGTCGGGCTCCACTAACTGCTCCCTGAGCGCTGCATAATAGCTTCCCACTGCTCCTAAATAGGATGGGTTAAATGCAGAGAACAACAAAATATTCCCTCAGGGATTCCTGAAGTATAATAAAAAAAAACCCCGTTTCATTGGGTAGTTTGTGTACACAGTGTACATTATGAAGAATAAAAAAAAAAAAGCAAATATCTGACCCTTAAATCACTGTTATCTGTTATATTTTCAGTGTTTTTGATGAGTCAAATGGCTGCCACACCAACTTCAGACCTTTGGATTGGTTTTCGCACTGTAGATCGTGGTGAATTTTATTGGACTGATGGACGACCGAGGCAATATCTCAACTTGCTTACTACAGTAAGTGGACACAATCAGAATTGTGTTTTACAATGTGATGTGATTGGGTTGTCTTTTGCACTCCTGATAATATGTGTGTTTGTGTATAAAAATGTGATGTTAAAATTGTTTCTCTATTTTAGGGACGCCTGTCTGTTGATCCACTGATTTATAGACACTTTTTGGTAACATGTTCAAATTTAACTTTACTTGAGGCAAACATTCACTGTTGTGAAGAGTCAAATGCATTTTAATTATTTATAACCATATATATTTTGTGTGTTTCCAAAAAGTATCATAGATCTAGGAAAGCAAAGATTTACAGAGATTTATGGAGATATTGGATAATGCGTGAAAAATCGAAGGTAAGAACTTCTTGTCAAATAGGAAGTTTTGCGTGTCTGTAAACAACTATGTCTCTTCATTCTGTCCAGTTAAATATGGTGTGCCTCAGGGGTCGGTCTTAGGACCCATTTTGTTTTCCTTGTATCTGCTTCCCCTTGGACATATTATCCATAAACATGGCATTTCTTTTCATATTTATGCTGATGACACACAAATATACTTGCCCGTCAGATCCACAGACCCTGGAATGCTGAGTTCACTTAACAACTGCCTTTGTGAAGTTAAAAAATGGATGTCAAATAATTTCCTCCAGCTGAACTCAGACAAAACAGAAATCCTGGTCATCGGGTCTCAGCAGATGGCAAATCAAATACTGCCATCTGCTGGTTCCCTAGTAAATCACATTAAGCCTGTGGCAAAGAACCTTGGTGTTTGGTTTGATAGTAATTTAAATTTCGAGCAGCACACCACAAAGCCTGTTCAATCATGTTTTTATCAACTTAGAAATATAGCTAAAATTCGATCTATGTTAACTTTTAAGGACACCGAGACCATTTTACACGCCTTCATCTCATCACGCCTGGATTATTGCAACAGCCTTTTCACCTGTTTAACCCAAAAATCTATTGATCGACTCCAGACTGTCCAGAACTCAGCTGCCAGGCTTTTAACCAGAACAAAGAAATATGACCACATTACTCCTATTTTAGCTTCGTTACACTGGCTCCCAGTATGTTTTAGAATTGACTTTAAAATTCTATTGATCACTTTTAAAGCTCTTCATGGCCTCTCGCCTTGTTATATTTCTGACCTTTTAGTCCCATACGCACCAGCACGTACCTTGAGATCCTCGGGCAGAGGTCTGTTGTCTGTTCCAGAGTCTCGACTGAAAACTAAAGGGGACAGAGCGTTTGCTGTCAGGGCCCCGAGGCTCTGGAACAGCCTGCCCGAGGAAATCAGGTCGGCTGAGTCAGTGAACTCTTTTAAGTCCCTTCTTAAAACATACTTTTATAGGAGAGCTTTTCCCGATCTTATTTGACTTTATTTTATCCCTTTTATTTTATTGTATTTTACTAATTTTATATTAAATTTTCATGCTCTTATCTTTTTGTATTATTCTTTACACTTGTTAAAGCACTTTGTAACTTGTTTTTGAAAAGTGCTCTACAAATAAGGATTATTATTATATTATTATTATTCTTAAAACTTAATTGTAGAGTGAGATATTTTGTAATGACTTTGAGATTAATTATAGTACACTTTTGTGCATTTTTCATTACACTAGAACAGCTCAAAATGTTGACATCTAAAACTAAAGAAAAATAAGTGTAAAATGAAATTCTAGCATGTGAGTTAGGCTCCACATTGTCAATGCAATGGGAGAGGATACTACAAATACAGTACTTAGAGATTGGGTCACGATTTTTGGTCATTCAATCATAAATGATTTAATAGTTTATGCGACTATCGTCTTGTCTTAAAAAAATAATACATTGTCCGGCTGGGACACCTGGATCTAGCAAGTGTGTTTGCACATTCAGTTCAGCTACAGCACTTCAAGATGGGCTAGATGCTCAGTGGCAGCCTAATACTGTTAAGCTTATGTATTGTGTTCATTGCTGCAGAGAAAATAAAGTTCCTGTTTACAGTATAAACACCTCATCTAGTTATCTATCAGTCCGGATCGCTAGTTACCAGCTAATGTTATGCATTTTATTTAACTACTGTCTCCAGCGCTGGCACAAAGTGTGGAGATAGGTCTGGCTGTACGTTACCAGTTACTAGCCAGGCTAAATTAGTATGAGAAAACAGTGAACTCTAAACTAGTTTCCTGGCCAAACATCTGAAAAAGTTAACACAGGTAAAAGGTAGCATATTACAAGTCTACAACAACTATTCAGTCTTTTTAGAGTGACGCAATCTGTCTCTCTTTGTGTGCACGTGTGCGTTTAACAGTTATATTGGCCTCCTCTCGGCAATGCATTTTTTAAACTTTTTTTTACTTTCCACCAGAATTAAGCACAAATCAATGCTTTTCTCTAAAATGTTGAAATAAAAAAAACATGTAATAGTAAGCCTTCAGTAAACATGAACATACTGATGTTGCTATCATTCATAAAGAGAAAACTTTTTAATATGCCTCTGTAATTATGTTGGAGCCCGACAGTTTTCCCTTGTCCTCATTATTCTCTCTGTGCTTCCCCAGAATATTTGTGTTGTGATCAATACCCAGTCTTCCCTTGCTATTGGGAAATGGATAAAGAAGTCCTGCAATGACACCAATGGATTTGTCTGTCTTCGAAATGTTGGTGAGCCAATCTTCTGATATATTCCCTGTAGTCAAATTTGCAGCAGGCAACTGTTTTCAAAGTAAAAAACCCACTTTACACTAACTGTTCAAACCTAAATAGCAGATAGACACAGTTAGCAACTAACTGGTGAACACAGTGGAGCATTTAGCAACTAAAGACCCAGATATTTCTCTAAGGAGTTGGTAGAGACCAAAAACAGAGCTTAAATAGACATTTGCGCCAGGTGATCAGAAACACAACTCAAAAAGAAAACTGATGTTGCTCTGTAAGGTAGATGTACATCCTATTTAAAAAGTCAGCTTTTGCAGGTTTAAGGTAGTGAGTAAACTGCTGGCCTATCAAAGATGTTGAAAATTGCTATTCACTCCCTAATCAGCTGCTCTAACAAACCTCTTCCATGCGCAGCTCAACTGCTGTTCTGACTCGTGGATGGAAAAATCCCCAAAACAAGTTGCGTTTTTCAAATAATTAGTCCCAAGAAAATCTAGTAAACGATAAGATCGAGAATTCTGTTCTATAGAAGCTTAATTGGAATGAAAAACCTAAATTATATGTTTCCAATTTAATTTCTCACCCTAAACAGACCCTTCTTTCCCGGACTCCTCTGAACCAACAACTTCTATCGACTATGTCAACATTTGGAATGACTCAATCAAGGCTGTTACTCAACAAATGACCTGGGATGCAGCCAACAAGCACTGTGAAGATGATGGCGCCAACCTCCCTAGCCTGCGAAATGAGTGGTCACAGGCCTATGTTGAGCTGCTGGCTTTGAATCTAAAATCTCCTATTTGGATTGGACTAAACAAAGTTCTGGTACAGAGCTGAAAGCCTCTTAAATAGCTGTAGGAAAATAACAAGACTAACACCTTTGTGTGTAACTATTGACTATAGTGTAAAAAGATATTGGTTGCAGCAACATTAGGGAGAAACTGCTTGCAAAATACAGAACAGTTATATTTTAAAATACAGAACACAGTTGTTTTTTTACAGAACACAGTTATATATTTTTTTACTGCTAGTGCATGATAACAGACACCATCTTAATATAGCTTATTAGCATGCTAACAATTGCTAATTACAAACACAAAGTTGTAGTTTTTCTTTGACAAAATGTTGAATAATAAGGTGAATGCAGTCTGATCAATCTCTGCTTTCAGACCAATGGGTATTTCAGATTTATTGATGGCTGGCACCTGAGCTTTTCTCACTGGGGTGAAAATGAACCAAGCGGGGACAGACCTTGTGTGTACGTGGATGTGGATGGAAAATGGAAAACAGCTGTCTGCAACCAGACCATGAACAGTGTTTGTATGAAGTCTACAGGTACACCCAACAGACTATTGTTCATTTAAATAAATTAATATGTAAACTCATCCTATATGTTAACATGTCTCAGTTTTACATTATTATCCTGTGAACATCAAAATATCTCCTGTGCTTATCTTTCAAAAACATTTATTTAATAAAAACGTGTTTAAATTTGACAACTGATTTAGCTGGATGATCCCAGTCATCAATGTCTCTCCTATTTACAGATGTGCCACCAACCGGGTCAAGTTTTTTTCCAGGCGTTTGCCCTGATGACCCAGATCCTCTGGGCAGAGGGCAGAATTACATCTGGCTACCATTTAAGGGTTACTGTTACATATTTTTCACAGAAGAGGAAGAGTGGGCAGATGCATCTGCTAGCTGTGTTAGACATGGTAAGTCCTTTCTGTGGATGGTCAAAGATATTTTTAGGCAATAAAATACATGTAAATTTCAGTAAGGACTTTGTTTTTGTTTTGTGAAGGTGGATTACTAGCCAGCATTGAAGATCCCTCTGAGCAAGACTTCATTCAAAGCAATGCAAGAATATTTCAAGACAGCCACACCTCTTTCTGGATTGGCCTGTATAAAACTCACAAAGGTAGAAACACTGTGTTGTTTTTGAAAAAAATGCAATGGTTTTAAAATAATACATTTTAGAATTCTTCTTCTTCTTAATTTAGTTTTATTGTATACATAAATCAGCGGTGGTGCAATAATGTCTCCATCAGGGCATCCATATGCTCAGCTGACATTGAACTGTTGTCCGTCTTGGTCCGTCCTTTTTATCTCACAGTCACAGAGCAACTCAAAGACTTCAGTCCCTTTCCACTGATGCCCCGTGTTTTTTAATGGGAGATATTAATAACTGCGAAAAAATAAGATAATTTAAGCAGCAAGAGAATTTAAGCAGCAATAACTTGGGATGGAATAAGAAAAATGACAGGCCAGCAAAAAACGGAAAACAAGTAATTTAACATTGCAGATTCTGATGGTAACAAAGACTTAGCTGACGCACTTAATACTTTTTATTTACGATTTGATACAGAGGATTTTGCAGATGAACCCGGGGAAATATGCAGAGAGTCTGCCCTCCCCACAAAGACAAATCTGATGTTAAATCCTCAGGATGTTAAGGCAGTTTTTAGATAGAAGATAAATAAGAGCCCGTGGCCGGATAGTATTACAGGAGACTGCTCAAGAGCTGTTCAGAACAGCTTTGTGAGGTGTTCTGTTTTATTTTTAAGATGTCTTTGGAGCAGTGAAGGGTTCCAAAGGTGTGGAAGGAGTCCATTGTTGTTCCAGTGGCAAAATGTGGAAACCCAAAAGAGCTAAATGACTTAAGACCAGTGGCATTAACATCACTGGTCATGAAATCATTTGAGAGGTTGGTTAAAGGGGAATTGTTGGAAATGGTGGAGGAGGCTATGGACCCCATGCAGTTTGCATATAGAGCTGGGATGGGAGTAGAGGATGCCCAAATCACATTACTCAACTTCCTGTACAGTCATCTAGAAAGTCCCGTTACGCATGCTAGACTTCTATTTTTGGATTTTTCATTTGCATTTAATACTATCCAGCCACATGTTTTAGCTAGGAAATTGCTTATTTATTTTATTTTGATGTTAACTTTGTGGGCTGGATTGTAGATTTTTTAACTTGTAGGTCTCAGAGGGTGAGAGTAAATGGCTTTGTCAGATCAGCGCTCCTCCTCCACTGGCTCTCCTCAGGGCTGTGTCGTTTCCCCTCTGCTGTATATTCTCTACACCAATGACTGTTGAAGCCAGCACGAGGACAGGCACATCCTGAAATTTTGATGATACAGATATCAGCCTGCTTAACAAGACTGAATCTGAGCACGCGCCTGTGGTAGATGAGTTTGTTAAATGGTGTGATGAGGCCTTCCTCCAATTAAATACTACAAAGACCAAGGATATGATCACAGAATTTAGAAGGAAGTCATCCAAATCACCATCTCAGACTTTCATTAAAGGAACCGGTATTGAATTTGTAGAACAGTATAAATATCTAGAAACAATCATTGATAGTGACCTGAAATTTGATGCTAATTTTGATGCAATTTGTAAGAAGGGTCAGCAATATTTGTATTTCCTCAGGAAGTTAAATGTTTTCGATGCTGACAAAACAATGATGTGTTTGTTTTATAAGTCTTTTATTGAATCTGTCCTTACTTGTTCTATGATTGCATGGTATGGAAAGCTGAACATTAGGGACAAAAACCACCTAAACAATATTGTGAACGTGGCTGGTAAGGTTATAAGTATCTCACAGACTCCCCTGACTGCTATCTTTGAACAGCAGGTTCTCCGTAAGTCCAGGTCTGTACTTGACTGTAAAAACCATCCTCTACATTCTGAGTTTGAAATTCTTCCCTCAGGTCATAGATTTAGAGTTCCACGAGTCAAGTGCAATAGGAGCAAAAACTCCTTTGTTCCCTGTGCAATAATCCTGCTAAATCATCTCAAGTAACATCATATTTAGAGATTGTTTTATGTTTTTATGGTAGGCTTACTTATAGCATACTGTATGTACTGGTTACATTTTATTTTATTTTCATGTGTGTATCTTTTGCGTATTTTGTGTTGTTTATTCTGATCCTTGTATGTATGTTTTATCTTGTGCCCTGACTGCAAATCTATTTTCCCACTTGGGATAATAATAAATGAACTGAATTTGTATCACAAGCACATCAGGAGAACTATTAAGTCAAACTATCTTGAAGAGAGAGCATTAAACAGTTAAACAAAAATCATCTGCTATAAAAAAAAAATGTATTTGTCTCTAGGGGAGTGGTTGTGGTTGGACAAAACAGTCATGGACTACACTAATTGGGGTGAAGGTCCACCTAATCGTCACAGCCATGGAGATATAAGTACTTCAGATGGGATATGGAAGGCAACATATGGGTGGAATAAACAACCATACATCTGCAAAACGCCCAAAGGTAAAATAATTCTTATTATGCATTTTTTTCAATGTTGAGATCAGACTACACAATATTTTTATTGTGGACTTAGAACAGACCCAAATGCAACGCCCAGGTTTAAACAGGTTTATTAATGGGAAAAAGGGGCTGAGGGAGTGGAGATGAAGAAGAGGTGGAAGCTGGGGAACATGGGAATAGAGGACCGAGGAGCAGGTGGGGCAGAGGAGGTTGAGGTGAGAGAGCAGAGGGAAACAGGAGACCAAGGAGGAGAGGAGTGTGGTGGCAGGCAGACTGGCGAGGACCGGGGGGGGGGGAGCCAGGGGAAAGCCGTGGAGGAAGCCCGAGGGGAAGGTAGGTGAACCCAGCTGACTCAACAGTGGACGGAGGTGAGTGAATCTGGGTGAGGGAGGGAAGGCAGGTAGGCAGGCGGCCAGACAGGGTTAACCACAGGGAAACCGAAAACGGAGAAGCAAAGGGCTAACAGGATTAAGCTTGAGTAATGCAGTGACACCAGGTCAGGAGTGACAACGATCAAGCGGAGATTGTGTAGAGAACGGGGTTGATATAGGCTACTGGCAGAGATAGAGTTGATTGCAGGCAGGTGTGGCAGGTAAAGGAGGCGGCTGATGAGGTGCAGGTGTGGGCTGTCAGCTGGGCTCAGGAGCAGAGAGGGAGAGCACATGCAGGGGAACGGAGGAGACACAGGGGGGCAGGGAAAGTACAGGCAACAGAATGGTGGAAGAAACAATATGAGAAGCAAACAGGACACTCACAGTCAGCCGGGCTGCCACACAACAATTTTTGTCTTTTGGGATGAGAAACAGTATCATATTAGTGTTACTGTGACATGAAAGAGAGATATGGCAGACTACACAATGGGACCTGACTAATCATAGCTTTCTGTGTTTCACGACTTGTGTGACGAAATATACATGTGATCTGCACGGTGCCAGGGACTGGCAGCACTGACAACAAATGTTTACATATTAATCACGGTTTTCTGAATGAAAGTGAATCTTGAACAATTAAATGTTTCTCTGGAATGAAGGTGGGCTCTGTCGGTCTCCATCCCAGCTGGTACAAAGAGTGTGTAGATAAGCAGCATTTTAATTTGGTGTAATACTGCTGACATACCGATTATAGTCATATGGTTACAGGTACAACTGTCAAATTTCCCTTCTTTCTTTCTAGTATTACCACCAACGCCATCCCTACCATCGCCAGCTGGTGAGTAACCCTTCTTATTCCACTAATTAACTTATCCTGTCACATTGTGACAAACATTTTTGTCATTTACTTTTTTAATCTGTGCAGTACTTGATCCTCGTCACCGTGGCCACACAGCTTTGACAGTTGTTCTGGTCATTACTGGGATTGCCATAGGGGCAGTCGTTGCCTTTTTCCTCTTTGTGAAATCCGGTCAACGCTTACCCATCCTTGAAGGGTTAATCACCTTTGACAACCCACTATTCTTCAGCAACGAGCGGTTCCAGTCTGATGTGGTTGACACCAATAAATTGGTAGAGAATGCAGAGGAAGAGAACCCTGAACCTCTTATAAGGATGTGATTAAAAAAAACATCCCTAATCGCGGAATCTAATGGGTCACATACTACCTATAACTAGGCCTCATGGTTTATGTCTTTCTCATTTGCATGGCCAATGATTAGTTTGTTCTTAAATAGTGGGCGTTCAATTGAGTTTGCAATGAGTCACTAAAATGAAAAGCAGTTTAGACTGCCTTATTTGGCTGTAGTTAATTGAAGTTAGTTTTAAATTATATTTCATCATGTTCAGCTTTTTTTTTTTTTTTTTTACTTAACTGTATAATAGTGCTGTGTATTTGATACAGATCTGCTGCTGTGTAAAGCAAAGAGTTGTAATGTCCAATGTCTAATTAAAGAGGTCATTATGCTTTTTGTCTCACCTTTATTGAGTTATATATTGTTTTTGTCCATGTAATAGGTTTGCAAAGTGAAAAAGCCCAAAGTCCATCTCCCACAGAAAACTTTCCTCTGAACTGCCTGAAAACAGCTCGTTTTTACTCCAGCTTTTTCATCAGCCTTCCTGTGACATCACAAGAAAACACGCGTCATAACGCTCACCTAGCGGCTAGTCAGACACGTCCTCAAAAACACTGATGGAAAAACACACTGAGCTGCAGCACACAGAGCTCCTCCTCTCCTCTACCTTCCATTAGTTACCCTCCAGGCAGTCAATGGACATAAAAGTTGTTACTATGATGTAGAGACAGAGCTAAGTTAAAACTTTATGGATGAAAGATACATTTGTTACAAATAACTCACCACTCTCAAACCCTTGCTCCAGTCCATGTTGCTAAGCTGATAAGGGGAACATGTACAGCTGAACTGAAGCCAGGACACACCTAATTCTGCTTTTGATTGGCTAGTAGTCCTTGTAGGAATTGCGCATGTGCAACTCCCAACAAAGATCTTGTAGAGGTGAGATGCATCACTCCATTGCTAAGACAAAGCGGTGCTCCAGCAATGTGCAGTGTGAGAAAACATATGGTGTTTTTTAAAAAATGAAACCATGTAAACTTATTCTAGTACAACCCCTAAATTAAATGATGAACCTGAAAATGATCATAATATGACCACTTTAACATGAAATAAAACAGTAAATATAACGAACATTATCATCATTACTGTATTCCATCTAGGGATGAGTCATGATATTTAAATGATAAGAAAATCTAATAGCTCATCTTGACTTAAGAAAATATTTTTTTATATATTATTATATTATTATTATATATTAATATTTTCCTTTGTTTTTACTGCCCATAACGCATTACAACCAGGCATTGGTAAAGGTGTATTCAGTTCGACTACGCACCGTGAGATGGGAAAGATGCTAAGTGGCCTCAGGAGGAGGGGGATGATGTGACGGAGTGAGAAGGGGAGGAGTAGTTGTAGTGACAGGTTCCAGTCCAACCTCCTCTTCCACTTCCATGTCCACCTCCCTCACCATCAGAGATTGCTCTGGAGCTGGGATTGGACACTCCTTCCACTCTTTGAACCGTTCAACCAGACCATCCGTCTGTGGATGGTACGGTGTGGCTTTGATTGCTGAGATGCCCAGTTGTTTATGGAAGAGCTGCATCAACTTGGAGGTGAAATTAGTTCCCTGGTCCGTCAGAATCTCATCCGGTATCCCCACCCTGGAAAACAGTTGAACCAACACACGCAGAACAGTGGGAGCAGTAATGGTGCGCAGGGGGAAGGCCTCAGGGAAATGAGTAGCATAGTCACACACAACCAAAATATACTGATGACCCCCGCTGCTTTTCACCAGAGGGCCCACAATGTCCATGGCAATTCTGCGTAATGGAGTGGCAATAACCGGAAGTGGTTGCAGGAAGGCTCTGTCCGACTTGCGGGGAGTACTGGTTTTCTGACATGTTGTGCAGTATCTCTGAGTGTCTGTATACATGGAGGGCCAATAAAAACGCTTACTTATGCGAAGATCAGGTTTTATGGCGGCCAAGATGCCTGGCCCATGGAAGTGTGTGTGCCAAGTGCATGACCAGAGGTCTACAGCTAGCAGGGACTACTAGACGTCCATGGTCATCATCAACTGCATACAAAACATCGTTATCAACAATGAACCTTTCCTTTCCCACACAATTCCCATTTGTACCCACTTCTACTACCTTAGCAAAAAAGGTTTCAAAGTTTCATCTTCCCTCTGCAGTTCAGAAATATTTTCAGGCACTTCCCACATTTTATCCGACAATAAACCAATTTTTTCAGGTTCAGGTGGCCTTAGCTGCTTCTCAAAGCGGCGTTGTCGGCGGGATTTTCTTGGCCCCTTGGTGCCTCCCTCACACAGACTACTGTCCAAGTCTGGGAGTGGTTGGACACCAGCTTTTGCCAGGGCTCGAGTAATCACAGGGCAAGACACATTCACATCAACCTCCCCTTCCTCCCCTGAGTCAATTTCCACTGGCAGTTCAGTTTCTTGTAATAAGTCCATGAGTACCGGTAAATCCCAACCCAAAATGGCATCTACAGGCAAGTGTTCAACCACCCCAACAGTCAACAGGTAAGGCTGTTCATCAATGGCAACTGTTAAATCCACTTTGGGATAAAGGTGCTTATCCCCATGAACACACAAAATGTCTGTTTGTCTACTGTAGTCCACACTGCCTACTGGTACCAAACTGTACTTAACCAGAGACATGAAGCTCCCAGTGTCCAATAGTGCAGTAACCTGCTGCCCATTGATAGTCACAGTTTTATAGCGCTGAACTCTCGCTTCCTTATCCCCGACAGGCCCTCTTTCCGGCAGGGGGGAACAAGTCTGCATGCGCACTCACTCTCTGGCCATTTCCACGTTTTGGCAATGCATTCAAAACAAAGCAAATAATTTTAAATGTCCTCACCCATCTGAAATGGTGGAATTTTGGGCTCACTATAATGCCTCCATTCTGACCTTGGCTGTTCATCTCTGCTGCTTGAGTCATTGAACTGGAGAGAGGATGCCTCCAAGGGTGCATCACGATGCACCCGCCGGGGAGCGAGTGTGGGAAGTTCCAGCCTGGGACTGCTTGCTGTCACTGTGCTTGGGGTTGCTGCAGCAACTGGAAGGTTGATAGCAGGAAGTGTTTGGGCAGCTGTTCGACTTGGCTGGGCGGAAGGTTGAGACACCTGGTAAGTCAATGGAAGAGAGGCTGGAAGGGAGCGGGGAGTGAGTGAGTATGTGCGTATGTGCGTGTGTGTGTGCGCGTCCCGCACTCTGTCTTTGTGTATTTTTTCTTGAAATGCCAGTCCCTCGTTACATTGTGCATAAAGTAACATGATACTTGATCCAGCTGGAAGTGGAATGGGGTGTGGGGTCGTGAAGTGAAGTGAACGTTACTCAGTTTTAATCATTTTCTTGTTCTCCTGGATCAAAGCGCATTACATACCACGGACCATGAGATCCTTCTGGACAGTCTTGAAACCTGGGTGGATATCGATGACACTGCTCTGCAATGGTTTGGGTCCTAACTAAAAAGACAGGTGTTTCTGCAGTTCTTGCATTTGGGGTTAAGGGTTTTGCTCAAGGTCACCTCGATGGTGGTAATAAGGGAGAAGCGCTGCTTACTTTCCTCTACCCATCTGGAAACTGTCACGCCTTCGTAACTGGTCAATTTGATTACTGATTTGATTCCCTGCTCAGGATTTTGACTCGGACTAAGAAACATGATCATATCACACTGGCTTCCCTAAACTGTGTTCCTGTTGCTAGAATGTATTTGAATATGTAATTGATTACTTACCAAATTATTTAGCCAAGGCTCTACAGTGTGAGTATTTCCTGAAGGTATGCCCCTAAAAACTGATAAGTGCGAACAAGAAAAATTATTTACGAGCACCGTATGCAACACAAATACAACAAACTTCCACTCCCACCCTAATCGCTTATCATTTTAAACATAGACAAAATTTTTGTGACGCCTGCTTTTCCATGCACATGAAGGTTAATGATATCCCATTCTTAATCTGTAGGGTATAATATAGAGTTAGCCCACCCTTTGCATCTACAAAAGCTTCAGCTCTTCTTGGAAGGCTGTCCATAAGGTTAGGAGTGTGTTCATGGGGATTTTTGACCATTCTTCTAAAAGCGCATTTGTGAGGTAAGGCACAGATGTTGGACAAGAAGGCCTGGCGAGCAGTCTCCAGTCAAGTTCCTCCACACCAAACTCACTCATCCATGTCTTTATGGACTTTGCTTTGTGCACTGGTGCACAGTCATGTTGGAGAAGGAAGGGGCCATCCCCAAACCGTTTCCACAAAGTTGGGAGAATGAAAAACTACCCCACATCAAACTTTACACTGGCACAATGCAGTCAGGCAAGTACTGTTCTCTTGGCTCTTTGTTACTCCAGAGAACATGTCTCCACTGGAATATTTAGTACCAAAGAATTTTCACAAATGGACTCATTGCACAGGAACTATCACGGTACTATGAATTCACTGAGCTCCTGAGAGCATCCCATTCTTTTTGTAGAAGCAGTCTGCATGCCTAGGTGCTTAATTTTATGCACCTGTGGCTATGGAAGTGATTGGAACACCTGAATTCAATGATTCAGAGGGGTGTCCCAATACTTTCGACAATATAGTGTATTTAGTATTATTATGGTATGGTGGTATTTTAAAATGAATATGGTAACATCATATAATATATTAATGTTATACTATGAATATGCTATTAAATCAACATTGTACTTTTTTGATGTTGTAATATTATACTAATACACTAATTTGTACTAGTTACTCCTGCAGGTTGTGGATAGTGCATTTACAGGGTTTCTGCAGGTTTCACCTTTTAAAGACCTTTTTAAGACCAAGATCATGAAGGAAATTTAAGATCTATATCACAACATCAAAAAAATAAAACATACAAAGGAAATGCAGTCACAAAATTACTTGCAGAGTAAATCAATGTATTCAAATGTAACAGTAAAAAAAAATACAAACATGTTAGTGTGAGTTTGTGGATGTGTGAGTGAGTGTGTGTGCAGGCACTCCATTAATCTGCACTGTTTCGGGTTTTTCGTAAGCAAACGAATTTAGGTGGGGGGTTTGGAGGTCATCCCTCAAGAAAGTTTTTTATGTTTTCTAATAAAGAAATATACAATTCCATATAAATTTTTTATAAATTCTTTGTTATTACCACATCTGTGAATAAATAGTTGGAAAATCTAGAGTAGATTTTGCTACATCCCAAAAGCTAAACTTACTAACAAAGTCTACAGGGTTTGAATTATAACCATTAGATCTGAGAAAAGTAATTTGATTAGTT